GATTTGTGTTCTTTTTAGTTGTGTTAAATTTTTTTAATTGAAATGAATAAACTCCTAAAAACTTTTAAAAAATATCCAGTGTACAGTATAATAAATACTGAGTTACTTCTTCGTTTAAATAAACAGCTGATAAGAAATGATACAAGTGTACAGTGTGTACCGAGGAGCAAAGACACACTTGAGAAGAGCCGGAGGTCAGCTGCAAAAATCATAATAATCAGAAAAACCTCTGAATCTCATGATTTATTCASTTAATTGTTACTCTGATGCAATTTAGTTGTTTTGCACAGAACAAATTCAACAAAAAGAAAACTCACAAATGCCGAGTTACTGGTATCTTTTAATAACAAATAGGTTTTACATTGGTCCTGTGTGGCCTCATTATATGACCTTTAAAAGAAGAAATATAAAATCAGCCAGAAATGTGAAGAGAAATTACTTTATTTCATCCAGTCCTGCTATCACTTCTGAAAATTAACCACAAGAGAAAAATCCCACACATTTAAATGGTGAACATTATGGAAACACAAGACGCACATTAATCTCTRCCAAACCTCGGAAGAACCAGAGAGGTTCTGTTAATACTGAACGAGTTTATTGATGTGTCTTTCAGAACAGATCTTATAGTGCAATCACAGGCAAACATAAAAAAATAAAAGTTAGGACTAGAGTGGTTTTCCACAGAATCTTACATAAAAATAAAAGTTAGGACTAGAGTGGTTTTCCACAGAATCTTACATAAAAATAAAAGTTAGGACTAGAGTGGTTTTCCACAGAATCTTACATTATTTCAGCAAACTGTGGAACAGTCTGACAAAGGATGTGTCCTTTGTTTAGTGCACAACATAAAACACTGATAATGGTGACAGAAATGTTTTTAATAAGAATGGAAAAATATAGTCCATCAAAAGAAAGAAGCACCAAAGCAGGGTACTAAAGAGCAGGATCAGCTTTCTGTCAGAAAGTCAAACACAAAAACTTCAACTTCAGTCAGACATAAAATGAGTACAAGATTAGAGATTATAATCCCACAGTTCATCTGATTGTTTTATTCATATGTTTGAATAGAGATGAAGACTGCAAAATAAATAAAAAATAAAATTTAAAAACGGTCTATGCTACAAGAGACTGATACTTAGTAATTGTGCGTATTAGTAAATTTCTGCAAGCTGTTATAACTTGTCACTTCTTACACAGGCAATATGTGCATTTAGCTCTGACACAAGGAAGATTTGATTCGGTTCATTTGTTTCTCAAACTGAAAAATCATATATTCTCCATGATAATAAAAAACAGAGTGAAGAGTTTGATTCAATCAGCTGCAGAATAAAAATTACTCTACATTTATGCAGTCCCATCAGTTTCCAAAACACAGATACTTGTGATTTTATAAATGTCCACACCTGTCTACAAACTGGTCATTTAGCACACATCAAGAGTAACTTTTTAATTGGTTAAAAAAATCAATAAAAATGTGTCTGAGTCAACAGTTTATCATGATGAACTGATTGAAACACCAAGTTTTTATCAGAACGATCTGTGCACTTTATTATGAATAATCTAAGATTAAATCAGCATCGGATTAAAGATGAGCATTTTTAGAATTGGTCAAGTTTTAACTTCTTCCAGAGTGTGTTCCATGCTCAGCTCAGGTTAAAATAGTGACTTCAACAGATTAAAAGAGAATCTTTTTTTATGATGCTAAACAATTAGAATCAACATTTTTAATCCTGCTTCTTAGTACACCTCAGAGACACAATTCTCCATCTGAGAACAGCTCATTGTGTCGGTCTGCTCAAAAATATTTCAGTTTCATAAAAATGCAACACAAGTGTTTTAAAAACTGATAACGCTACTAGAGAAAATTCAGGCAAAACACAGCTATTATCTGTCCAATTATCAACTTTTACTTAACTGGAAAAATGAGTCATGCCTATGCTGTCTATAACTTTTCAGATTAACAGAATAGACTAAATAAATGTTAGCGTTGCAGCTTTTTAAACACATGAACTTACAAACATGAAGTGACAGATTGAACATAAACTGAATGTGCAGAATATTCTTGCATTTCATGATACATCTCTTTTTCAAGACTTATGTGGAAGACTTCATGCTAATTACGTGATTACAAATGAAGCAAAAGATCAGAAACACTAGCTAATAATTCAACTTGTGTCTTAGATTTATTACTCAACACAAAGGTCAGTAAATAACATACTAAACTGGCTAATACAAAGTTTATCCAGAAACTGAGAAGTGTTAAGTTAGATTGGGGGAAAAAAAAGTTTAACACCTGCAGAACTTCTAATTCTTGCAAAGTAAAAAAAAAAAAGAAAATAGTTAATGGCAGCATTTTTTAGCCTTCTATAGAAATGTTGCTCACATCAATATGATTCATAAACTGGGCCGTTCAAACAATAAACCTCCATTATTGCCCTGAGAAATATGTTCCCTCGCGGTTGTGGGTCTGAAGATGCCTTTTGATTTTGTCGGAGCGACTGAAGCACTTGCCGCACACTGGGCAGCTGTACGGCTTCTCCCCTGTGTGGATCCTCATGTGAACCTTCAGGTGAGCCATCTGCGTGAATCCCTTTCCGCAAATCTGGCAGCGAAACGGTTTTTCTCCCGTGTGGCTCCGCTGGTGCTCCTGCAGTCTTCCGGAGGAGCTGCAGCACTTTCCGCACACGCCACAGCGGTACGGTTTTTCCCGAGTGTGCACTTGGACGTGGACGTGCAGGTGGCCGACGTGACTGAACGCCTCGCCGCAGACTTTGCAGCAGAAAGAGGACATGTGGCCCTGCGTGGGAGACTTTTGATGAGGGCAGTCCATGGCATTGGCTCCTTGGTTACGCATGAGAGAGACCTGTCCTCTGTTAGGTCCACCTTTAACACCAACCAACTGTCCACCGTTCTCCGCCGCCATCATCTCAATGTTGTTCTCGTTTGAGCAGTTTGGGTTGACTGGTGCAAGAGGCTGGGCGCCGCTGCTGGAAGATGCAGAACCTCTGTGGCCGTCTACAGTCTCACCCTTCACATGCCTCAAGGAGCCCCGAGATCCAGGATCCCTTTCCCGGTTCTCTACGCCCTGATTCTGAGGAAGGCTGGAGGTATGGGGGCCATCCTGGGGGTATTCGTTTGCAACACGGGGAGGAGTGAACATGTTCTCTGAGGCAACACAAGCGCCATGGGCACGAAGGTGATCATCTCCCTGGTTGACCCGCAGATCTCTCTTGTCTTTGATCTGAATGGGAATGCGCTCTTCATGCCCCATACTGGGACTCCACTCACGACGTGGGTGCTCACCATCCTCCTCATCCAGCAACCCCATGGACGGGCGATCTGACAAGAGAAGGCAAAACAATGACTAGATTAATGTAAGCATTACTTTTAATATGAAATTCTGATTTTTATAGTTGGTTAGTTAAGTTTAATATCCAAATGACTCGGACAAAGTGGAGGCCGATTTAGAAACGGTAACTGAATTGACTCCTTTGGCTTCAATGATCCAAGAAGCAAAGTACTGAAGTCAAAACACTCATTAAAAACTATTTAAGGGATTTGTTTGTTTATTTAAAAGGATCTCCATTAGTCTCTTCTGCAGTAGACACTACTCGTCCAACAAATTAAAACAAGTCAATTAAAATAACCTAATACATCAGTAAGCAAAACAGACACTGTGAACACTATAAAACAAAAAAACAGCCAACTTCAGCACCTCTAAATAAAAACAACCAGATTCATCATTTCAAAACATGAGCCGTCAATGAGCATTGTGTCTTTTTAAATGATGTTTAAATCCAATAGTACTGTGGATAATTGTTATTGTAGGAGACAACATATGSCAACATCTAAAGTGCTCTGTACATAACTGAAATCCTAAGTGCATTAAAGCTCGTCTGGTACCAAAACTGTCTGAAGTGACAGTTGATAAAGTAAAAGTAATAAAAGGTTTATAATGACCTTGATCCTGTGCAAAAATAAACTGATGGAAATACCTTTAGTATGTTAAATGATGGACATAAAAAACTAAAAAAAACAGATATTTATTTAGGCTGGAATTTATATATTAATACACGAAAAAAGTCTTTTCATTTGTGTTTGTTTGGGAGTGCAAATAATGCTTTTAAATAAAGCGAAAAGCAAAATTGTCAATCACATTCATTATTCAATCAATTTAGATAGAAATCTGACTTTATTGTTGCGCCTTCCAAGACAGTGAAGCTTTTTTCAGCACAACACCCGGTGGCTAACGAACAAAGGTCGCTAACACACAAGCAGCTAATGTCAGCTAACCGAGAAACAATTAACTTGTTTTCAAGAAGCAACAGTATTCTGTAGCTGTGTTCGTTCTGCCGCCATTATTCCTTATTTCAACAACTGTTATTGTCCTTAGACTTTGCTAATAATGAAAACGTGGGGGCACGGCTAGTCCCGTTAGCTTTTCGGGGAGCTAACCTGGCCATATTTCGATTCCAGCGTCTCTGAGCCTCCGTCTCAGATGGTCGTTCTCCCGCTCCCTGATCGCTATCTCCTCTTGGTATTCCAAAATCGTATCCTCCACAGACTTGTAAATCTCCTGCGCGGCAAGCATGAGACGCTCAGTCAGGAAAACGTTTAAAAACTGCAGCTTTGTCATTTTTAGAGGGTGGGTTGCTACGCGGAGATCTTGCTAACATCCAAAATGGACCGAAACGATGCTCCAGCCAGCCTGTCACGTGACCTGGATTTGTTTATTCTTCTTTCTTTTCCCAAAAGAGTCCCGTCTGGTCTGCAGTCTGCAGCTAGACTTCAAGACACGCCCACTTTAGTCGACGTCATGACGTCGTTTAAAGCTGTACGCACCCACAACGCTCAAACACGTCACACGAACAAAAACTAAAGAGAAATATTATAGAAAAATACACATTTCCTCTACAAATGCAGTGGCTTCACCCAAATTTGTTAAAAACAAAAATGTGTTAAAACCCAAAATTAGCAAAGCAACGGCTAAAAAGCTTAAATTTGCTAAACAACTAAAATAAAAAAACATAGAAGCCAACAAAATAGTAGCAGAAAGCTAAAATGATCAGAAAACTAGTTACAAACCAAAATTAGCAAACCAGTTTCTAAAAGCTAAAACAAGCAAAGCAGTAGCTAAAAACTGAAACTAGCAAAAGCAAGGTTTCCAAATAATGAATATTTTCAAGGATTTCAAAAGTTCTAAATGGAAAATATTTAAATATTTTAGAAAGTACAAAAGTTACAAAAGTCAAAAGTCATACCATAACATTCTGATAAATAGCTGAAAGTACAATAGCTAGTCTAAAATATATACATCCATCCATCCATTTTCTGTACACGCTTCTTCCTTGTCAGGGTTGCGTGGGTCACTGGTGCCYACATCCAGCAGTCATACAAACAAGAAAACACAAACGTGGATTCACATTAGAAGCAAACATTATTAGTAGCAGTGCTGTATTGTATCGTATAAATTTTTACAGAATTGTAAAATAATGTCTTTTCAATCATGGCTTGCAGAAAWTTTAACTTATTATTACAGTTGATGGGTTCCAAACTTTTCCACTAGGGGGCGCCAGTGATGTTTTATTAAAGTTTCATGGTTTTCTGCTCTTCACGGTGTTTTTGTTCAAATCGGTTTAACAAAATGCGCATTAAGCAGTGCGCTCAGTTCTGTACATGGGAAGAAATGTAGAAAAAGTTTACATTTGTGTCTTACAGTTTTTTATTATTATTAATATTATTATTATTATTATTCGCTTCTTGTCGTTCTGTCTCACAGAGGCGCAGTGGTAGGCCTATTTATTTTTTGGTTTGGCTTTTTTTTTTTTTTTTTTTCCTGCAGAGGGATGCTGGAGCCATCAGGCTGCAGCTGGTTGGGCAGGGACTGCAGGGCAGTAACTATCAGGGCTTTTCTGTTTCTTGCTCTGTAAAAAGTCCTTCTACACATTTGAAGCATCTTTGCCGATCCCTTCTCTCTTTGCGACTTCCCTGTGCGCCTTGGCGCGCTCCTCAGAGATGCGTCCTCTCTGTCACATCATCACCATGTGGATTAGTTTGGCCTTTGTTCTGGCAGCTGCCAGTCCGGGTGGGAGCTGGGGGGGCTGTCAGCTGCCCCACGACTGGAGACCGCAGACAGAAGCGTGCCGCGCCGAGCTGGCGGAGATCATCGTGTTTGCCAAGGTGCTGGCGCTGCACAAGGAGTCCTACAGCGTCTACAACTACCTGCCGTGGCAGCACGACACCGACCTGCTCTTCTCCGCTGAGATCGAGCTGCTGTGCGACCAGGCGTGGGGCAGCATGCTGGAGGTCCCCACCGGCTCCAGGTTCAATGTCAGTGGCCTGGGCTACTTACCGTGCTTCACCTACAGCGTCACCCAAAACAACAACTACTACTTCTTCCTCAGGTGAACCGCCAGGTGTTCCCGCAGGGGGCGCATCCAGAGGGGCCAGGTGCATGAGGGGGGCACAGATAGACAACCCGAACCAGAAACTCAAGAGTTTTATTATAATGCTGTCATACAGATCCAGCAATAAGAAAGTCAATCCTCCAAACCTGAAAGGCAAGAAAAAAAGAATCTCATGTTTTCTAAACCTGTCCAGTTTTTATCTTCCCCTTACTGAGAGATRGAAAGTTTAAAAACTATTTTTATTATCATTCCTGAAAGGCAGGTATAGTTATGGCAGTGTCTCATTGTCCAAGTCGTATCACTTACTTTTTGTTTGTTTTAATGCTTTATTAGCTGATGAAAATAACTTTATTTATTTAGGGGTGGTAAGCTTTCTAAACATATCTTCTTTTGATTCTGAAAGAAGCCATTATTAGTTTTTCTTTGMGCTCCAAAGGCTCAGAAAAATATGCCTTGTTTTCTTTTTCCTTTTAATATGGAAACAAAAATTTTCACAAGGCTTCTGACTGCCACCCCCAAAGACTTTTTATTATCCTACTAACTCTAAAAAAAAAATAGAAAAACATGAACATGCAAAATGGCACATCCCTTTCTTACAAAATAATTCTTTCACTTACATTTCATTGTTTCCGTTTGCTGTTTATTTGATATTTTATGTGACTTTTATAGCAAACTGAAAGAGGTGGTCATTATCCCCCTGTGTTTAAAGTCATCTCATAAAGTTCCAATGTGCACCTGAAAGTTTGAACCAATAAATCATTAAGTTATAAAGTGTAATCATAAAAAAATTCTTTTTAGGACGGATCTAGAGAAACATGGCCCTTATTTTATGCAAGTAAAAAAAACCTGAGTAATATTTAAAATAATGTAATTTTGTCCTGTTTTTTGTGATCTAGACTTACGTCTTATTTCAAAAATGGAAAATTGAGAATCATGTTGTTAAATCGTTGGGTGATTTTATAAGACTACATTTAGAACAGACCTGACTGTAAATATATCATCTAATAATAATATCTATTCAACTCTTATTGTGTTTAAGTGATTTGATTGACCTCATATGTTGTATGATGAGCAAACTGTTTTTTAAATCTAATTTGGGATGCCTCAACAGAATTTTAACAGATAAGTTTCCTCGTTCTTGAGGCTGCTTAGCAACACCAAACTCCCAGAAGGTCTGCTAATGAATCAAAACTCTCCAGACGGCATTTATTTCCTCCCCCAAAATATCTTCTCTCTGACCAAAATAGTTTCTCTAAATCAATCACGACTACAGTACAAGCTCCCAGGATGGGATGACTCATAGCAGACAAAAAAAAGCATCCAAGGATCTCCCCCAGCACTCATAAATGAGACGGATTGGGCGTGCAGCTAAAACCATATGTTTAGCTTATATTTCACTCTGTTGATTTTTAACTTCTCTCTGAACAGAAAGCAGTTTGTTCGCAAAGTCTCAAAATGCTTTAATCCTGTGCTAAAGTGCTCATTCAGATTATGTTCCTTAATCCTTTTTTTCTACCTGTGTAGAGTTCAGATGAATTCCTTTAAATCTCCAGCTCTGTGTAGTTCCTCGTTTCTGTGATTACATCTGACCTTTGGCGTTCTCGGCTAAACCAGAACCTGAGCTCCCTGCTCTGCTCAAACACAGACGAATACAAAGCACACGCAGCCTTTGATGGGGACAGCCGGGCTTTAGATGTCTTCTGAGAGGTTTGAGATGGAATCCAGATGTTTGCCACAAGACTTCCTGAAGATATGAAACACGTTCCATAATTCCCCTCAGCTTGTCATCTGCTGCTTTGAGTTGTCTCTGTGACTCTGGTTTAAATTGTAAGAGAAAAAGCTTTTTTTAAACCATTTTTCTTGTTTATGCTCAATTTGTTATCCCTGTTTAAATAAAAGGTCTAGCAAATGTTAATATATATTTTAATATACTTTATTTAAGAAGTGCATATTGCCCACTACTGCTAGGGTATTAAACTAAAATCATGGTATGCTGGGAAGGTAGCCGTTTTTTGTCTAACCTTGGAAAATACCATTACGTGCAATATTATGTAATATTATGAGATCTCAAGTGATTTATTAGTGCTTGGAGTTTGTATTGAAGATGACTCTCAGCTACTACCATACCAAATCTCTGCAAATATCTAGAAAATTAGCTGCGTTATAACCTTTTTTTTAATCCCATTAAAAAAAACCAATTTTCATAGACAGCCTGGGCCTAAAGGAAGCATAAACATGCATGTTTTTGACTGTGAGAGGAAGAGTACCTGGAGAACATGTAAACTCCACACAGAACATCCTAAACTGGGATTTGAACCCAGAACCTTGCTGTGAGGCAACRGTGCTAACCGCTAAAGCCGTCATACTGGTTTGCTAAATTCAGTCAGCTGTGACAGCCATCTTGAATCAGGCTGACTCCGAAAATTAATCAGCTATAGATATACAGCTAATGATTACTCATTGGAAGTTTCGTGAAAATCCATCCAGTGGTTCATAGGATATTTTGCTAACAGCCAAAAAAGTTGGCAGCAAATAGTTAATACCAAAAATTATATCATAGATCTTTATAAGCTCGTATCACTTAGAATATGTGTTAAGGGTCAGTCTCAGCTATAACACATCAAATCTTAGGTTAATATCTGTAAAATCAACTGAGCTACGGCCATTTTTGTGCTTTTTAAAGTCATGTGGCTGTGGCGGCCATCTTGAATTGAGCTGACTCCAAAGGTTATTCATTTGTACATTTGATGGTCTCTATCTGGAAGTTTTATGAAGACCTGTCTAGTAGTTCATGAGATATTTTGCTAACAGACAGACACATGAGTAGATGCCCATAGTCAACACAGTCTGTCTTTGTCTTTCAGCAATAGGCAATCACTGAATTCTTCGGCGTTAATTAATAGCTGTCATTTCCTTGTGTTTAAAAAGATTTCTGGTGACAATTAAATGCTACAAATTTCCTATCTGCTCATGTTTGTTTACATCTGTCTTTGTTTTCACATATGGAAAACATTTCTTTGCTTTAGCTCACTAATCTATCAACATTTATTTATTTATTTATTTATTTATTTATTTATTTATTTACTTGTTTATTTATTTTGCCACGCAGGATGGATGAGAATTACAACATCATGCCACACGGGGTGAACTTCCAGGACCCCATCTTCCCTGACACTCCGGAGAACCACCGCATGTTTGCCAGTCTCTTCCAGTTTTCTAACTGCACTCCTGGAACCCAGGTCCACAGCTTCACTCCAGAGTGGGAGGCTCAGGAGGACAGCCGGGTACGTAACCACTCAGAGCCACCGTGCGAGAGCTGAGTTGCTTGATTTCTTTTTTTTTTTTTTTTTTTGTGGACCTCTGTAAATTGAACACCAAACACCCCCTGCTTTTCATGGCAGATGTTTTAAACTGAAATTGTTTTTTTTTTTCTGAGGAGGAATAAAGTTGTAGCCATTTTGATGAAACCTGGTAAATGATCTTCTGCATGATCTCATGTAAAATTTTGAACTGTCTCGCTAAGGTGAATGTCTTAGAAACATACAGCAAGTTTTAGCTCAATATACAGAAAATTGACTGAATTATGACAACACACAGACAGATTTGGGCCACATAAAGCAAACCGCAACTGGGCCAGTTGTGGCATGCCATCATAAAAACAGTGCCATTATTGCCAGACATGGTCCACATTGACAAACCCCTTGCCATGTCAGCCAGCAGTGCCAGCTTGACACCAGCTCTGGCCCACATCTGTTTTCTATGAGTTGTGGTTGCCATCTTAAATTGGGGTAATTCTGTACGTGCATTCAATGATATTTTTTCTGGGTTTCTGTTCAGTGGTTGATTTTTTTTTTTTTTTTTGCAAAGACCATTCTGATTCAGCTGTTAGCTTCACAATGTCTTCACACACACAAAAGGCAGAAACAAAAAAGTGCAAAAAGAATATTAAGGTTGAAATGTTGCAGCCCCAATATAAATGACCCAGTTTTACATCCTATTGTTTTTAAAGATTGCTGGAAAGAAACGAACATGTTTSATATTGAATGAAAACCCAGATGCACATTTCCCAAGAGGTTGGCAAGACCAAGATCTTGCTATTGCTGTGAAAACCAAAAATAAAAAGTTAATAGTAGAAACCCGGAGCAAATCAAAGCCAGTGAAATTGGCTTTTAAAATAACTTGTATTATTTAAAAAAAAAAGCTCACACRTTTGATTTCAAACCATTAAAACATTTTGGTGGTTTTCATGAATCAAACGTAGATTTTTAAGGTAACTTCTATTTGTGAACGTACTTTCACTGGTCAAGTTTTTTGTTGTTGTTGTTGTTGTTCATAAAATCACTGCGAGACACCTGGTCCCTTTTGGACTTGGTATAATTATTTTACTGAGACTCACTGCTGCTTTGTTTTACCTCACAGCTCTGATTTAGCTCAGCTCTTCCATGTCTGTTTACAATTATTTACTGACAATTTACAAAAACTAAAGAATCCACCATGAGGAAGACRAATGAAAACATGGATTTATATTTTCATTAAGAGGAAACTCCTGGGACAGACTTGTGATTACAAATACAAAACTGTGCCTCGAGATGCTGCATTACATCATCCTCTAAGCTAAATAATAACAGACTTTGTTTTTTTCTTTTGTACGTAGCAACCAACAACTGATCTRAGATCAGGTTAGATCATACCATATAAATCTCTTGATATTTTATAAATCAAAAGAATACAGAATTACAGAATTAAACTGTATTTCTTCAAAACTAGGTTGTTCAAAAAGCTATCTACAACAGGTAAGATATTAACTGTTTATAACTATTCCACAGAACCTCACTTCATTCATTTCAGGCCTGTTGCAAAATAGGAGTACACATTTTCTCTTGTATATTTTTTGATGTGTTTCAGATTTTACTGAGTTATTTATTTTGATTTTGATATTAGCTCTAAATACTTTATTTTTTAATGTAAGCTTTGGTTTTTCTTCTTATGTATTTGTGGCAAAAAAATTCAAAGCATTGTAAAATATGTCTCGTTCATTTTTCTTGACAGCAACTTTATATTAAAGGAGACATATGCTTTTCAATCCTTTTTCACATTTAAATYATTCATTTGAGGTCTATATAAAGTGGAACTGTAATACTTTGGTTTGAATTCCTTCTTATTGTAACTCCACAAGCCCCACTTTCACCTCTTTTCTGAGGTGTGCCTCAGATCAACTTGTTTTGAGGGACATGGATTTAACGGCTAAAAAAGTGGATTTTGCATAGGTCCCTTATAACTAACTTATCTTTTCTCAGCATAAAATTATCTCATTTTAAAACGGCATGAAAATGGTAGACAATAATTCCTTCATGTAATGTAAAACCTTTCATTTAAAGCAGCATAAACTGCTATTAAATGTTTGAAATACAAGTTCTTTTAAGTGACAGCTTCCAGAACAAACTAATAGTTTTGCAATCCGTTCAGAATTGAAATCTTTCTCTGAACAGAACCCATTAAAAGCGCTACAGCACACAAAACAATACATAACCTTTACACAGAACCTCACTTCAAAAGATCTTTAACAACCAAAAATAAAAAAAATGATCCAATAAGAACAATAAAGCACACAGAACCAAAMGAAAACCTAAAGTTTATTACACATCCAGTACAAAAAAACACAGCAGAGCAGCTCAAGGTAGTGACTTAGATCGAACTGAGGCCTGGAACTTGAAAACACAACATACTGTGAGTTTAAACCCAACATGCTTGTGAACCTTGTGACAAATAGTCCAACAGCCTGGACCATTCCTGGCTGGAAAAAAAGAGGAAAAATTAGCTCCAGATGCCCCTTTTTTGACTGTGTGCCTGAATGCCAGAGAGCACATTTCCTCAACAGACCTGAAAGCGTCCCCACGAGCCAGCGGGACAGCCCCATGTAAGTTCTCTTCCATCAGATAAAAACCACTGAGAGTTTTGAGGAAATGTTAAAAATGTGCTGCCGACCCACATCATTGGTTGGTACATTACTTGTGGTAATAGTAGCCGTGGACCTCTTCCATGTGCTCTCGCTTTCCTCCCAGAGGAATTTCTGTGAAAGTACCAAACCTTAAAATGGAAAGAGTCATGCCGAACAAAGAAAAACACAAAAAGTGTCAAATGCAGCTTTGGTGTTTTGTGCGCTCACAAATGACTTTCACATGAGCATACCTTCAGTTAGAGCTGGACCAGAACCAGTAAGACCCACTGAACTGAAACGGGCCTCACCGCAGCTCATAGAAAAGATAAGTTACCAAATTTCATCGACATATTTTATCATTAAATGTCTATTAGCCTCATACAGAACAAACGTTTGTTCTTTGGGAAATCAGTTGTAAATTATTTAAGGCCATAAAAAAGAATACTGATCACAACACAGTTCATGGTATGGAGAGACAGAAACTCTGGAAAACACTTAGAAAATCTAAATGCATCGTGTTTGTTAAACAAAAAGAGTTTGGTTAATGAAAAGCACACATAAAACKTTTAAATGCCCCGTATCTCACYGAGCTGTGGCTGTTGGCAAGAAATTGTGAAATAGATTCCTTAGAGTTTGTTTTTTTTTTTCAAAATGTCTCAAAATTCTTGCAGAAATTCTTCACTTTTCCTTAGTGTGAGTCACAAGAGCTCGCTGTCAGGCTGCTGGGATTTGATTGAAAAATTAGGGAGTCATCTGGAACCCATCTTGACTGAGTTTTCATGATTTAGAAAATGTGAGGCAACTTTTGCAGGGTTTGCCAACCTGTGACTGATTGGAGACAAAAAAAACTGCATGTCATGCAGCGCAAATGTCAGTTTACCTTCTGTTGTGTTCTAACGTAAGTACCAATTTAGTTTGATACTAAGTGAGCATATTCTCACTGGTTTGTGTCTTCAAATAGTCACCAACAGTCATTGCAGAAACTTAAAATTCTCAACTCAAAGGAATCAATGTTTCTAAGCATAAAGCATRATATTGGCATTGTTTAGRCTRGCCGTTAGCTCATCAGTTCAACAGAATCTAACTTTATTTCTCCAAACTGAGGTCATCTGCAACAGGTAAGATGTTAAGACTTCATAAATTTTCCACAGAAATACACATCCAAKGATTTAATCAATCCATTTAAGTTCCTTTTGTTTTCTTTTCCCTGTCTTCATGGTTTAAGACTGAGTTGGTCTGTGTTCTGCTCTGCACACACCTGGTTTAAATTTACTCATTACCACACATGCCTTTGGTTGCCCGTTACCTCCCTCAGTGTATATTTAGTTCCTGTATTTCATGTTTTTGTTGTTGACTTTGTCAGGTCTTTGTCATTGTTAATGAAGTTATTGATTTGTTCAGGGTTTTCCTTTGCATTACATTTTTTTGTGTGGAATACAATTTTCTTATTCTGCATTGTTTGCATCTTTTTGTCAGCCTGCATTTGAATCCTCTTCATCACCACAGACAACGTCAAACATTAAGCAGGGCTTATGTTCCTCATTAGTGAAGGTCAAATCTACTTCTGAGTTGTTGTTTTTTTTAATATTTTCCCATACTCTTTCCTTTTTTTTTTTTTTCTTTGAGGCTAAGAACATCCAAAGCAAACTTCTTCTTTTTTTTGGTCTCTTTCAAACACAAACAATGGGTCCTGATCTGATTGTGAGCTGTTGACACTGGCTTTCAGCCCGCAGCGCATGTCAGCTGTGTCCTCTTGAGACTTATTTAAAGAAAATCTATTATCAAAACAGTAGATTTGTCAGGTTCTGCATCACACATGTAACAAATAGACATGCTCTTATACCAGTATTTTGTTGGGCTTGGTTCATCRACACTGAGGAGGAAGTTGCATGTAATCTGAAAAATGCGGGGCATGTTGCAGAAAGTTTTTTTTTTTTTTGAAGATCCAGTCAAAAATGTTTGGTAACCACGGTGAATGAGTTCAGATTTGTTACAGGAAATAAACAATTGCAAATGATTACAGATGTTTAGTCCAAATGTAGGCTAGCGAAAGTCTATTCCCATAAAGAGATGGTTAAAATCATTTAAAGTAGGGTTCATTATGWAYAATYAATATCTTACCTGTTGTAGATAGCTTTTTTAACAGCCTCAATTTGGACCAAACTTAAAGTGTTGGACAAAAAAAGCTTTATTGTTATAAAAACTGTAATCTTTTTTGTTTTATGTTTTCCCAGTTGTTGTGCTCCACGGTGCAGAAGGCTCTGTTTGAGGAAGAAGAGAGGGTGAAGACTCTCTCCCAGAAAGTGCGTTCTTTGGAGAAAGCCAATGGCCACCTGAGGGAAAAGGTGAAGACCTTAAAACGTCTGTTACGCCAGGCCCAAAAGGAGACCACCAAGGAGCAACAGACCCTCAGCTTTAAACAGCTCTACGAGTCAAAGACGCCTCAAGCTCATCCTGATCAGGACACGATCCAGGATCAAAAGAACCAGCCACTTAAACAGGTTCAGACTAAGAAGATAAAAAGCTAGATTTATTGGTTTTACTTTGGTCAGTGTAAATTCAAATATCTTTCTCCTTTTGCATTTCATGGCAGATGTGAGAAGAACTAGTGAAAAGCAAAACAATTAGGGCCAATTAAAATCACCATATTTTTATTATGAATACCTTATAAACATTTAATGATAAAACAATCATTTTAAAAGTATATATTAATAAGCCGTTCCTCCTTTTGGTGCTGGACACATATTTCGTTTCAACCTTGAATCGRCACATAAATGGTGTTTTAGCAGCCTTGAAACTGTATTTTAAAAAAAGTTTCAAAGTGAAAAATATACGTTTGAAACGTCACCTTCGTTTTCCTGTAGACATCTTTTAAAATCAGTGATGTCATTGCCCCACCTTCAATCTAACCTTGCTTCCTGTTTTTGGTATATTTTCTTGGTAGTGTAACAGCGCCTCCCGGTCTGGCATAGTCACAACAATATTTTGAGTTTTAAGTTTCTGTGTGGATGGAGACATTTCAAAGAACTGTGCCGTGTTTACAAAGATATTTTTAGAAACAACAAAAGAACATTGTTTTATAGAAACTGATTCAAACACCATTGAACATTTTGGATTATCAAAAAATCTGGAATGTGCAAGCCCACAAGTAAAAGTGACTTCATTTGGTGTTTGCAAAAAATGTAGCAAATAATTTCTRATTTCAGCTTTACTAAAGCTGGGTGTAAGTTACATTATGTTAATTTACAGTTGTACATCACTATATGAAGATTAGGCAGCCCTGTCACTTTTTCAACAAGGTCTTTCTCAAAATGCAGGTCAAATTTTATGTTTTATGTTTAAAAAAAAAACAAGCACTTTTTGTTACATTATTTAAAAGGTTTACATTTTCCCAATTATGAATTTTGCTTCTTTGTTTTTAAAATGCAAAATTATTGCAGATTCACATTTTTTTTAAGTTTTTTTCCAGCTTTCAGACAGTTATTAGCAGATATTTATTTAATTACTTGCTTTTTTGTCTGTTTCTTTTTATTTTTAAGTGACAGAATTTGACAGCTTTGGCTTTCCATACATGCTAGCGTATCACAATATTTATCTTAAATTTGTCATGTATTACAATAAGTATCTTTGAAAAATGCATTTTTTTWAAAAGTTCTCACTTGTTTATGTGAACATCAGTGTTTTTTTCTTATTTGAATATGAGGTGCTGAGCACCTGGTAACTTCAGCCAGATGCAGCTGGTATTTTGTTGTTTCTGCGTCAGAAATGAACCTTGATTTTATCGATGTATGTTCTTTTGTTGATTTTTTTGCTTTTTTTAAACTATTAATGTTTTGATTTGCCAATACCATAATAATTTTCTGTAATAATTACTTATTCCATCCTTTTTGTTTTACACACTTGTCCTCTATGGTCACGAGGAGCTGGTGCCTACATGTCCTCCTGTTATTGTGTGAGAGGCAGGGGATACCCTGAACAGGTCCTAAATCCATTAAAGGGACACCTAAAGACAAATGAGACATGCACACTCTCACCCGCACCTATTTAGAGTTACCAAGTAAGCTAGCATGCAGGAAACCGGGGGGACATCTGAACTGCAGAGAGGCAACCCCGCAACCTTTTCTCTGTGAAGCCACAGCTCTAACCACTGCACCGCCCTGCTGCCCCCTTATTTTTTTAATAAAAAACTTTTTTTCAGAACTGGTTTTCATCATTCTTTCTGGTTTTACTTTGCAGTTTAATCTTTTTTAAGTACTGATATAAAACCATCATCAAGTAAATGAAACAGCCATATTGTTCAGGTTTGATCTCCCTCGTCACTTCCAGTGCAGAGAAACAGTTGTAATCCACATAAATATAAGATTTATAATCGGAGTTTGAAAGATTTATGTTTTCTAAGATGGCATGGCCTTGTCTTACAGACAGCACCAGACATGTCCAATCAAAAAGAGAGGAAAAAAACTAGTTTTGTGCAACAATGTGAATCAGATGTGGTTTCTTCACATCCTGACTTTGCTGCACTGAAGAGATAAAGTAGATATATTTTATTTGTTAACGCTAATGTTTGAAGATAAATGTGTCTAGAAACTGATCAGGCCAAACTGCAGTAAGCACAGACAGGGCTGAGTCGGAGCAAGTTGTTGAGGTATAGTTTCAAACCTCTGCTCCAGTGTTGTTGGCCCTCTGCTGACCTCGTTCAGTTCAGCTGTAGTCTTGTATTTTCAGAAAAAGCGTCTCACATGCAAATCATTTTGACAAATTACACTTTCAACACACTTGACCCGGTTCCCTCCATATGGTTTTGTTGTGTAAAACCGAAAGACAGACATGAAGGATTTRCACGATGAGAAATGAAACAAAACAAAAGGAAAATAAAAACACGTTTTAGCTTCTGATTGTGAATTTCTCCAACAAAGCAGAGGGTAATTAAGACAAAACTCTTCTTTTTAGCTTTATTTTGACTAGATTTTTTTGAGGGGGGAAAACCTCCCTTTTTTTCTTTTTTTTTTTTTGGTCCCCATGAAACGTTTACATCAGACAGCCTCGCCTGTAGCCGACAGTTAGGATCCCAGTGGGCTTGGGCCAAAGATGATATACACATACTGCTTTCTCAACATAAACCACTGTGCACAGCCAAGCTGCAAACCAGATGTCAAACAATGCGGCTCCGTAGAGGTGGTCTCAGTGCGGAGGCTTTCGGGGCTGCCTCTCTCTCGACATGTTGTGTTTCTTTGGTCTCTTTAGCTGCACTGGTTTCAGCTCTTTCTATAAATACTCCCAGAGCATCTGATTGAGGAACACCTTGAACCTTGAGCAYGTGTAGTCATACAACTCAGTTTTGTTATCGTATTCCTGCAGTTCCTTTAAAAGTTCAATTTTAAGCACTAACGTTTTAGGTACAGGAAACCCAGGCGCAGCATTTATTCTTATTCTACAATTTTTTTTATCCATACAACAGAACATCAACAGATTTGTCAAGCTTTGATTTTATGGACAGTTATTCCTCAGTCTGACTCCCCCAAATGAGAAATGACAGTGATCTAAACATGCATCTCTTGTCTAAGTTAATCCCAGAGTTTTCTCACTTCCATAGATACATCTTTTTTTTAAWAGCCTCTGTCTCCAGATGTGTTCTTGTGCTAATCAACACTTTCTTTTTGACCTGAATAGAAGAGTTTTCTCACCAGTGTTTGACTGTTTTCCAGTTGGACTCTGCTGATTCTTCACTGCTCAGGTCTAACATCTGAGCATCATGATTTCAGCCTCGACAGTCTGAAACTTCCATAAAGAGCTGAAATTCAACACGAGTATTTTGGCGAGCCACAAAAGAAGCAAGCACGATTCCAGACCAAAGTTTTTTTTTTAAGTCTGTGTTCCAAACAAAATTTCTCTGGTCCATTTATGGCATTTGGAAACGTTCACACTTCAGAATTCAGGTTTCACAGTATAGATTTTCCACTCTGGGAAAACAAAAGGCTAACTTTGGCTCAAATGGAAAACTGCTTCAGGGGATCTGATTTTTTTTGTTCCCCATCAAATGATTTCATCTTTAACTTTTTTTTTCTCACCAGTGTTGACTTGTAGTCACTTTTATTAGTCTGGATTGTTTTTAATTTATTTATTTTTATAGGTCTGTAGGAGGAGTTTAACCCCACATGTTTAGTGTTAGTGCTGACAATCTGTTTCTACATCTAATGGTTATGTTTGGGGGTACTTTGGTTTATGTTGCCACATTTTCCAGCTTGTATGTTTACAACACTCTGAGTGTGTTGAGGTGGTTATTCTGTGCACTGTCAGTGTATTTAGGTTTAGGGTTGTTCCACAGAAACAAAGTGTTACATTTAATCATTTTTACTCTTTCTGTTAGTGTTTGTTCTGAGTGTTCAGAGGCAGGATGTGGATTTGTGTTAGTGTAGAGGTCAGGATTTGAGTCAGGAGCTGCAGGATCATGGACCTGGGTGGTGATGATGTGGAGCTCCTGCTTCAGAGACCAGAGGATGCTRAGCATTAAAAACGAGGACGTGGAGAGAAGACAGAGGCTGAGCTGAATGATTGTTTCAAAGCATTTTAATTTGTTGTATCTGTTGTGAGTTTAGTGAACTTTCACAACTTATTTGATTCTCAAAGATATAATTCAGCTGCAAATGTATGAAAATATGAAACRTGAGTCTTAAAAACATTTTTAAGACATGCAGTCATGGAAATGTTAAGGCGGCCTTTAAATGTAAAACAATGTGTTTTCTTCTTTTGTTGTAACAAGAATTGAATGAAGCAATCCTTGAAAGACTGGCTTCCATCTTTTCTGCCCGAGTTTTAAACTACAGTAATCTTCTGATGAGAATAATGAGAATAGACAGTTACAGCCATTTTGGTTGAAACCTTGCACATATAATATTTCAATCTCTTGCAATATTTTGAGATCTTGCAAGATCAGAGAGTTAAGACAGAATCCCTTCCAGCCACAATCGCATCAAACTTTAACTCAATACCAGCAAAAGTGACAGTTATAACATTTTTAAGCTCATTAACATTTAATTGGAGTGACTTTAAAAACTAATTGGTTGTACATCCAGAACACACAAACAGGCAAAAACTTTTTTTGCCTCCTACCTTTGGGGGTATGCAATAATCAGCTGCTGTCTCCAAAAAAAAAAAAAAAATCTGTGTTAGATTGTCTTTATTTTATTGTAATAATGAAACTCTGTGACAAACTGTAAAGTTGTGTGAATTTTTGTTAAACTCCAAGTGTGCCATTTTAATTTTACTCTCCCAGCTTGTAGCATGACATAAAAAAATCTAATTAAATAAACTAATTGTTGGACAAGGGTTTTGTTTTTATGACTAAAATGCAGAACACCTCTGCAGGGAACATTAACGCAATAATCTTTACTGCATTTTCTTTCCTAATCTAATTCAGCATACACTCTAATGATTGTGTTTAAATTAATACAACTGTTTTTTTTTTTTCATCTGACCTGAGTAAGAGAATGTGTATTCCTTTCTCTTTTTTAATTCTTTTTTTTTTAATTATTAATAAAAGGAATTGTAAAACAAGCCTGGGTGTGAGGGTTCACATAGGCCAGCAAGACAGAGACACGAAGGATTAATGAAAAAAATGGCTCAAATTTATTTAGAAAAACTCCAAAATAACTGCAGCTTTGGGCCCATAAAAGAGGTCAACATAATAAATTTCAGCTAAGGCACCAACTTCAGAACTAAAGCAAAACAACCGACATGAGGAGACCTTATAAAGTGGCTGATCAGACCATTCTGACACAAAGGGGGGGAAAGAAAACAAACAAAATAAACTTATTAAACTAATACAACTAACAACAAAAACTAATCAAAGTAATACTTAGCTTTAATCTAAGAAAATAAATATTTACAATCTCAAAAAAAAAAAAACTTAATGGAAACATCAGAAATAAAAATACAAGGTTTAACTTTCCCCTCTGTCAACATGCAACATAGAGTGGCCTAATGAAGCTGAGACTTCAAGATCTGTTGCAGCTGGGTCTGTTTACACTGAGTGGCAGGACACCTTCAGCAGCCTCCCCAAAGGAACTGGCAACTCAAAGAAACAAAAGTTAAATCATGACAGATAAACAATAAACCATTAAACAGTTTGATAAAGAAAGTAACTAAATGTGTGCACTCCAAATAATTAACGCCAATATCAAACGATGTTAAAATGAGAAATTAGAATACATAACTACTTAAATTGCAAAT